CATACTTCAGATGCATATTCTAATTGTGATCGATACGATGTCTTTAAAGGGTTCTGAGCTGATTGGTATTTTATGGCGTAAGAAACAAAGGGTTATGTTTGCCTTTTTGGTTGACCTGTTATGTACTCGTTCCAACGGTCCCATGAGCACGGGGGAGGAAGTGTTACACGAAGGATGGAGTTCTTATGATAACTTGTTTGGAGTTCTTATGATAACTGGTACGGAGTTCCTGAAAAATGTTATGGATTTCTGTGGAAAACATTTCTATATACTTGGAGAACTCGCCTAAAAAATGGTTATTTTTAACTTTAAATGGGGAGTTTGAGGTGCTAAATTAAACTTTGATAATTAAGCTTGCCCTACATATTGTATTTTGTTTCAGAAAAAATCTTTTAGTCCATATTTTGTCGCCTTTTTTTAAAAAATCTGCAAGTTTTGAGAAAAATTACCAAATTACTTGCTAATTCGTACATATTGACCTTTTCATTTGTGATCTTCTTCGTTGCTATACTTAATTACCTAATTATTATGGAGAGCTGCAAACATAAAGCCCGGGCTAATAGATTTATACCCGATTTTTCAAATGTTACGGAGTTCTTGCGATAACTCAAAATATGTCCTGGAGTTCTTATGATAACTTTTGTTACTGCCAGTGTGTTTTTGTGCTTAATCACGGCGCGTTTAAGCGTATTTTATTAGACAATAAGTGTGTAAATCATTATGAAGCATAGTACGCTTATCATTTGCACAAAAATTTGGTTATATAACGTTGGTTTTGATCGTGTTTTTCAGTTCAAGAGATATTTTTCTTACCTCCGTTTCTTGTGTTTTTTGTGTTTGTTTTGGTCTTTTTGTGTGTGTGTGTTTTTTTTATATTTTATTGGAATGACTGTAAACATACTTGATTTAGAGCATTAACTTACAGGATAAAAATACGCTTTGAATCATGATTTCGTCATATATACATTATTCCTGGCAGTTTTAGAGAACATTAAGTAACTATGCTATCGGTATGCATGTAAATGGTTTTCAGCAAAATAGGAGGTAGTATGCACTACCTTTATCTAAATTTAATGAGGTGGGTTGGGTGTCGTCTTTATGTTTCAACGGGTATTTCAATTTCTAAAAGGTATCAGTTTTTGTCATAGAAACTTATAAAGTTCTATGACAATGATCACGGTGCATATCCATATCTGTACCCTCTTTGCGAAATCTGCTCAAACGGTACCCTCAAAGCACGACATATGCTTTTATTTGCGTTAATCGTTAAGTATGTATGTAATATTTCTTACTTATATGTAAATATTACATACTTAGCGATTAACACATAAAAGTATATGTCGTGCTTTGAGGGTACCTATGTGTTAAAAAATGAGAGGGTACCTGTGATATGAAAATTCAAATGAAGAGAGGTAGCCCGTGCCGCTGCAAAACCGAAAGTAGGGTGTTTTTATGAATTTTCCATTTATTTTTGACAATATACTGCCATTTGTCCGAAGATGATATGTATATGAACATATTAAATATGTGTGATGCATATATAATCAAGCCATAGGTTCATTTCAGCCCGAAAAAATATGTCGATGTGATGGGCGAGGCAAGATATGTCGATTTTTTGTAGTTTATTGTGAATTTGCAGTACATGAAAAACGTGCACATGACAAATCAGCACATAAATGAAACATTCTAGTGTTCCGTGGTATACATCTTTTCTACGTGTCAAACCTCCTTTCCTTATTACAATGAAATTTTACTGGATTGTTATCCATCGCTGGTTTGTTTTTAGCAGAAAATGACCTGTGCATGTTCGAAGAGGGTACCGTTTGAGCAGATTTCGCAAAGAGGGTACAGATATGGATATGCACCGTGATCATTGTCATAGAACTTTATAAGTTTCTATGACAAAAACTGATACCTTTTGGAAATTGAAATACCCGTTGAAACATACAGACGACACCCACCTCATTAAATTTAGATAAAGGTAGTGCATACTACCTCCTATTTTGCTGAAAACCATTTACATGCATACCGATAGCATAGTTACTTACTGTTCTCTAAAACTGCCGGGAATAATGTATATATGACGAAATCATGATTCAAAGCGTATTTTTATCCTGTAAGTAAATGCTCTACATCAAGTATGTTTACAGTCATTCCAATAAAATATAAAAAACACACACACACACAAAAAGACCAAAACAAACACAAAAAACACAAGAAACGGAGGTAAGAAAAATATCTCTTGAACTGAAAAACACGATCAAAACCAACGTTATATAACCAAATTTTTGTGCAAATGATAAGCGTACTATGCTTCATAATGATTTACACACTTATTGTCTAATAAAATACGCTTAAACGCGCCGTGATTAAGCACAAAAACACACTGGCAGTAACAAAAGTTATCATAAGAACTCCAGGACATATTTTGAGTTATCGCAAGAACTCCGTAACATTTGAAAATTCGGGTATAAATCTATTAGCCCGGGCTTTATGTTTGCAGCTCTCCATAATAATTAGGTAATTAAGTATAGCAACGAAGAAGATCACAAATGAAAAGGTCAATATGTACGAATTAGCAAGTAATTTGGTAATTTGTCTCAAAACATGCAGATTTTTTTCAAAAGGCGACAAAATATGGACTAAAAGATTTTTTCTGAAACAAAATACAATATGTAGGGCAAGCTTAATTATCAAAGTTTAATTTAGCACCTCAAACTCCCCATTTAAAGTTAAAAATAACCATTTTTTAGGCGAGTTCTCCAAGTATATAGAAAAGTTTTCCACAGAAATCCGTAACATTTTCCAGGAACTCCGTGACAGTTATCATAAGAACTCCAAACAAGTTATCATAAGAACTCCATCCTTCGTGTAACACTTCCTCCCCTGTGATGAGAGAGCATTAATATATGTACTCTTACATTTTAGTCAGATGCAACCGCCCGTAAAGTAGTTCAATGGAGAAATAATTAGCTGGTGTTGAATGTTTACTCCCTGTGACGTAGATAATTCGATTAGTTTATTATACAGAATTTATTTTAGTTCGATTGTGTAGGAAGCTATTAGCTTATAAACACACTTTCGAATCCGTTCCTGGAACCAACCAGTACTGAGCAATGAGTGTAAAGTTTTTGCTCAAGGAAACAACGACTTGCCCCTGTCAGGGTTTGAACCCATGCGGGTAGCGATCATAAGATTACTAGTCCGAAGCGTTAACCACTCGGCCATAGTTATTAGGTATGCTTCCTAGGTATAACCCAGATTTTTTTGACATTCGATGGCTTGAACTCCATGTCCCCATTAATCTTATACCTACTTTTCTAGGGTACTTAATTCTTTTTTAAGGGTTTCTTATTGCTGAACTGATGTTAAGGTTAGATGTAAAGCAGTTTCATTAAAAATAGACAAACTTTTTAATCAACGTCTTGTTAAAGGTTGTTAATGTATTCTGTATGCAAGAAAGAGAACCGGTGCGAGCATTTTAATGTAAGTTTTATCGCTCACCTTTTCTAAAGCTATATTAGAATCTTCTTAAAATGCTTAACGTTTATTTATTTATCTATCTATCGCTATAGACGGATACAAGATGGTCGTTTTCTAGCATTTTTGATTGAGTTTATCTCACGAAAACCATATTGCAGATGGTATAGAATGCCCAAGTTGGTAAAATGCTGTGATAGACGAGGCATCAGAGGAAGCAGACACCATGGAATATCCAGATATTGCAGACAATGTAGTTCACAAAAAAGGCAGTCAATATACACTAGAATAAAGTGTGTTGCAAAATATTTTTCTAAATAGTTACATGTAATTTCATGTAATATCACCTTGAGATATTTTACAAGTATTTCAACGGTGAATGGAATTGCCAAATGATACCGAATAGAACTCAATCCTTCTATAAACGTAATAGAAAAAGAAACAGAAATTAAAGTATACATGTATTCTATTTATGAACTAACAAATATTTATTCATATGGTTGTCCACATTCAAGGTCACTGTTACCTTGACCTTTATGCACCAGTGCCTTAAAACAACAACGGGTTTCTTCTCAACCTATGAAATAAGAAGCTACGGGTTAACTGGTTCTCTTGTTATTGTGAGGAAAAGCACACAGTCACTGTGACCTTGACTTTCACGCATTGGTGCACCAAGACTGCTCTGTGACAGTGAGCATCCTATTAAGTTTGAAATCTTTGGTAAGGAAAGAAAGTAAGTAATTTATCTAGGTTTAATAAGGTTATACCGAGGTTAATCCATTAAATAGGACATTAAATGGCAATGTGAGCTTGACATGTACGCATCTTCGCTCAAACAATTGGGGTCTCTTAAACAATAAATGTTTGTTGTTGTAACATTTCTGAGATGTACAGTGTTTTTATTCTTTGATGATGACATAGACTAGAAACAAAACCACATTTAAGTCTTATTGTATCAAACTATAATGCCCAGAGATTAGATATTTGGCATGTAGCATTGTCTTGTCGACCTTCACATGAATGGTTTTAATCGCTTGGTAAATATTGGCCCTTCGAGTCACTTGATTTATATAGACTTATAAAGGAAATCACATTTAAATCTCATTGTGTCCAGAGCTTATATTTTTGTAGCATTTCTTAGTGGATCTCTACAAAAGTTATGTAAGTCATGACCCTGGGATTTAGATTTGCCCCACCCTGGGGTCATCTGATATTTAAAGGATGATAGAAGTGAAACATTTTTACATATTTCATGAATGAGTCACTTTATGTCGGACACAAGCTTAAAGCTTATGTTGTGTACTGTTAACCATAACCGACTATAAATAAAATTTGTCTTATACTTACTGTCTTACTTTCCCAATTGAAAGATCAGTTTTGATTACTCAAACAAATTTTAATTTGAGCTTATATTTGCCTACCTTTGCAGTGCTCTCGTCATTTATGGAGTAGAATATTAAACATTTAAAAAAAAATAATTTATCACAATACCGTTGTTTTTTTTTCAAATAACACAGCGATACAATGTCGGAAGTTTATTATTAATATAATTATATGACATGTAAGTTTATAAAACAAAACAGTATTGCACATATGTAATAAAGATAACTATAATTTATTTATTCATAAGAAATGACATTTCTTCTTCTTGAAGATAAGATTATACTTTTTCTACCAGAGATAATGTTACTCTCACAGTAGACACAAAATAAATAGTTTAATTAAGTTACACATTTTGACTAGATATAATAAAATTCTTTTACGCCGATTCTTTTTATGAATATTTCTGAATCCATGTAAGGAACAAATGGCTTCATATAAAAAGGGTGGGGACCCCACCGCAATTTTGGATGCATTGCTGATATATCTTATTAGCTGCAAAACTTTATATGTTTTGAGTTCGCTAACTTCAACTTATTCCAAGCCTTTTTCTATATTTCATATATTAAGTGTCCAGACATGTGTATGAAAAAAAATACATGTATCTTGCATACTGATATATAAAGTCAGTGTCAAATGTTTGTATCAAAAGCATTAGGCTGGTGCCGAATTTTCATCAGAAAAAATTTCGTTAATATGCTCGATGTCCTCGTCGTGTTCTTCCGTAACGCCAAGAGACGAGACCACTGATTGGTTGTTTGTATCAAGTGACGATGCAGCTGAATGGTTAGAACTGACGTCAGAGAGAGCTGATGGCGACCTACAGGAAGTCTCACTGTCATCTGCGATTGGCTTAGAACTACTGCCATCTTCTAGAATTTCATTGCCTTGTTTCGCGGCACTTCGTCGATACTTTGCACGTGCGTTTTGGAACCATACCTGAAATCAGATGACTTTATGTACATTTGTATTATAATACAATGCATTTAGGTAAGTGTGCTTTGAAGAGAGAGGAAACCTGTAAAGAAAAGAACAATTTTATAATTTAGTTGTCTCCCCTATCTCATTCATTTTTTCTCTGTCTAAACGATATTTAGCTGTGTTGTCATGTATATAGATCTATCCTTTTTTCTTGTTGTTTTTTTTTCAGGAAAGTTTCTGGTATCAGAATAAAAGAAAGTTTTTTTCCATGTAACTACAAGATCCAGAATTCGTTTGTCCTAAGCAAATGATTTATATGGCTTGAGGCATTCGTTCCATATCCTATACCAGTATATGGCATCTATTTTTATCACTATTATTTAAAAAAAACGGTGAAGTGACAAGATATTTCTTGCAACAGGACATATTGACGCTTATTTTAGAGGCAAAGTGCCGATCATGGCGGATAACTTACTTAGATGGATTGAAAAAAGTAAAATGTGCATTATATATTGAAGTACCGGTCAAGTATGATGACATGCAGAAAGAAGTACCTGTAGCACACGTTTACTAAGCTGAGTTTTTCTTGATAATTCTTTAAGGTCCTTGGCGTCTGGATTGTGATTCATTGCAAAATAAGATTTCATAGTTCTAAGTTGGTGGTGCTTGAAAGAAGTTCGCACTCGTTTTTGTCTCGGAGGATGACTAGCATTAAACGCATCTCGTGATAGTATTTCTCCATGGTCATTTGTGAATATGCCTGAAATTATAACAGAGAAGCTACAAGCTTTCTTTACAATCAGGCCTAATGAAAACGAATAGGTTACATGCCATGCTAAATTTTCTTTAAGCTTCGCATTAAGTTTATTTAGGGACTCCCTGACAGACCTTTTCCTCAAGAACACCATCATGTATGTTGTGTTTATAGCTGAAAGCTGGGACTTAAAAGTGACATCGAATGTCCAAGCTGAGTGTTAGTATGTTTACATATGCAATTTTATCAAAAATGATTTTTAAGGTGTTTTAAACATTTCTTTCTTTTCCTCAATCGCAAGGAGAGGAATATCTGCTTATTATTTCTTTTTGTTTTTAACCTGTTTTTCTTTTCAATCATTAATTAGTGTATCGACTCCGTAGGGACTTCGTTTACCGCAATTAGCGATACTTCTAATGGTGTAAGTACCCGTAACTGTATCTATTTGGTGAAATACGGTCAGGTGTTGATAGATATTTGACGTGCGGTTTGTTTTCACTGGCCAGTTATCCAAACATCTCAGTTGCTCATTATCTCACAGAGATAAACCTACAGTCGCTTTCTTTCATTTCTGTATGAACATGTTTTCACCGCTACTGTTTAAATGGTTTATATATTTCAATTTGTCGGTCATTATCAAGATATAAACGTTAGTATGAGAGCATTGTATATAATCTTTAATATTTTATTAACAAATAAGTTGTGGATATTCTTGAAATATAGTTTGAAAGAGTTACATTTAAATCTTTTTGAATTAAAAAAAAACATTATATGTACACTAATGTATTTTTAGAATAACGTGGTTGATACATGTAACTGCATTTATTTTATATAGTTGCTTATAAAATCCTTTGACATTGCAAAATAGTGCAATATACGAGTACATTTTAATTGATTCAGAAGATTTTAACTCGACATACTGTGTATTTACTCATGATTAATTCCACCCTTAATGAAAATATCACAAGATGAGTTGTACAATACATAGTTTACATATTATAATACTTTAGTAAAAAAATTCGGAAGATTGTTCCGCTTTGGACTACGTGATTGACACGTGACACATTCATAGTAACATTGTGTGTGGCGGGAAAAATCCGATCTATCTCACGAGATTTTCTAAGATACGGTCAATACCTGACACGTGATATGAAATCTCATCTCGCAAGATTGATTGATTGCCAGTGCGTTGAAATGTTGCGTTATATATTTTTTTTGTTCAAATATGCAATGTAGAACTTACTTTCAGTGATTCAAATGATGAGAAAATGAATTATGATTGAAGGTATGTTAACATATTCAAGCGGCTGCTTCAATGGGTTATAACTATACCTATGGAAATAGTTAGTTTTTACAGACGAGATAAGAAGATTATATCATGATAATAAATGTGCAGCAATATAAACTCTCGTAACATCTTTTCCTATTTCTTTTTCAATGCACGCTTTTCCTGAAATGACGATTTTATTACAGCAATTCTTTTTTAAAGAATTATCCAGTATGGTTAGCTATATAAACTTTTTACGAAACATCTAAATTGGCTTACTTTTACAGACGGATGTTTGATTTGAGAGCGCTGTGTATTGCTCTTTTTCCTTAAAGTGACATAGGTACTAGATTGTGTTACAGATAAATGTTCGGGGTAATTACAGTTTGAGGTGAAAGAAAATCTATTATTACACAGTTGCGCTAAATAACACAGAATAAATAGATTTGTTACATATTTAATTTGGAACAAATACAAAACTGAAGACGTGGCAATACGCTACAAAAGAAGAAAAACATTGGCAACGCAAAATTTTCTGCTGTATTTTGTCTGACATTAAATCTTAGCAGAAAACTGGCATATGACTTACGTAATTCGTGTGAGTTAATTTGCCAGCATTTAACCTAAAAAGTTAAGTGCAATATGCAGTGTATGTGTTTGGATCATCTGATACCCCTTATTTGCCAAGAAATAGCCCAGTTGGAGGCGTTTTATGTTTTATCAGGGAAGATGCAATAACTGATGTTCGTACTCGATATAACTCATGCCCTGCTGAGGACGAAATTATGGAATCTATAACACACTTCTACCTATCATCATTCTGCTACAATTATCCCACAACCGCTATACTTAGATATAATAGAAAAGGCTAAAATATCGATGCCGAATTATCTTTTTTCTAATAACAAAATTTGAGGAATGGATGATGCTTATAAAAATAATTTACTTGTTATCACATCATCATCACCATCTTAATCATCATCATTGACTATTTTACTTATTGATCAGTACAATGTCAACTGAACCGGAAACGTAGACAAATCATATTTTCATAATCTCAGAAGTTTTATGAAACTTTGCTTTGTAGCATAATTGTACAAATATTTTACATCATTCAGTTAAAGTAATGTTTATTGTCTATGCTTTACTTTATGACCGTGTTCTATGAAAACGTCGTTTTAACTAGTAAAAACAAAACAAAGAAGCAAATTTTGAAATAAATCCTTTAACTTCGTTTTCCATTGTTTGTTATACATGTACTTACAAATTCAATGAAACGAGCGACACCTCCCTCAAAAAGGCAACAACTGTAATGTGGCCAGTAAAACAGTAAAAAGTAAATCTATTGGAATGTCACACCGCCTCTGCTCATTGTTTTGGGGCACAATTTGTAAAAAGACAGACACCGAGCTGATATCTGGTAGAACTATTAGGCAGATGTATGAATGAATTTAACAGACAGTATATGTTCTGACCCTGTCAATGCCTGGCAATGTTATTACGTTGGTGGTATATTGTAAGTTTGACAGCTGTTGTTTTAGAGAAACCATTCCAGCATTTATTCTATAACATAAGCATATTTACCAGCTATAACATATGCCAAAATACTGATAATATAACATTTATGTGTCCTCCCTTTCCGAACATTTTTCCCGGGAAGGTCTGTATATTAACCCGTACCCTGCTGGAACTTGAGGCTCTGTACACTAAACATTTTTATTTTTTCATAAAAATATCCCTTCAAGTTCCAAATTTAAGGCACTATACAAATTCAGCACGACTGAATAACAATATTATTTCAACTGTAGTCATTCTAATGACTTTTTACACAGTCTCTTATTTACTTTTAAAAAGTAGTGACTCCTGTCATTCTTGAAAAAAATATCTAAATCATTAAAAGTTACATATATACTAGATTGTTTAATTATTCACATACCCCCCACCGTGCCACATTATAATTTCTTGTATATCAGACATTACAATGGTGCTAGGACACTCCATCTTACACCTCTTCGTGTAGATATAATTATACTTCACTGTTTTGGATACAGAAAATAACGAACTTTGCATATGCATGTATACAATAATTAAAATTCTAATTATAATATTTTTTTTTTTTAATTTAAATTCTTAATCTTTGTAACGAATTTTGGAAACATAGCACAACTTTAGGACTAAAATATTAAGACTATTGTTTATGTACATGTATATTATGTGTATTTATTATTGTACCAAAAAGCAATGTTCTTGCTGTGAGTTTGGCATTACAAATTACTTTGTCTAAGAAGGGGAAATCTTATCGACATTGTTGAACTTTGAGAGGATTTCTACTACATCCACTCAGATGTACTAGTGAACAGGAAACCTCTTGTTCACGTAAGTAGTTACCGTTAAAGGGAGTGAAAGAACAGGGTTTTTTTTAAGCAAAACTATATCTTTTTACTCACAGTAGTTTTTTTAATATAATGAAATACACAAAGGAAATATTAAACAACAAGAAATTGTACATTAAGCCACATAAATCATATTATAAAACTGTATTAGAAAAGTGAATCAATGTGTTAATGCATTGTCAATATAACATAAAACCAAGTATCAATAGCGCTTATACAGACCAAGATTTCTTAATTTACAACAAACATTTTTTTGTTCATGAATATGGTGGCATATTTCTGCCACCAGATAACCATATAACTAACTAGTTAATTAAGAGGTTAACTAGTTACGTAACTAGTTAACCTCTTAATTAACTAGTTAGTTATATGGTTATCTGGTGGCAGAAATATACCACCATACATGAAAGTTAAAGTGAAAGAATAATGAATCTTGTCGATTATTTAATCTTGTATCATGCCATTATGTGACTTCAAGAAAGGTAGGATAAGGGGGCTAACTAAACAAATAACAATTAAATTAATGTATATCTGCCGTACAAACCTACTCTTAACGCGTATCAGAATTGTATGCTCAATTTAGAATTGGAATTATTGCCATTCAGTTGAAATGTTTTATAAAAAAAGGATATAAAACGTGAAGTTGTTCAGTGTGTTTTTTGTGTGCAAAAACCGCTATAGTTTTTATTGAAAAGTATTTGTTTGATGTGATAGGAACTCTCAGGTGTGCTTACAAGATTGATAAGAAAAGCAAACAGGGTCTGACACATCTCAACTTTCATTACGTTTAATTTCCATCGTTGATGTTCGTGCTTCCCGAAGAAGCCATTCCGTTTTATAAGATTATTTTGAGAGGCAATTAGTCCCTACCATGGTGCTTTCTAACACGTCCGCGCGCCCAATTAGCAACAAGACGGATGTTAGCTCTCAAAGTTCGCGCTGATACTTAGAAATAATTGAGTTTGACAAAAATAACTGTAGTTTCTTGACCAGAGATTTTAGTTGTGATATAGTTTGACAGTCGAAGAAATAAAAAGAGAATAAACTGTTTCAAGAATAATTAACTTTAATTTAACCGACAACAATTATTACAAAATACCGTGTTAAAATATAATATATACAAAATCACTATCGACGTATATTAAGTTATTTTATAAACAAAACAACAGGATAAGTAGTTTCTTTCACAAACAATTTTAAAAGTATTCCACTGTGTCATGTCAATACCGGAAATAGATTCTATATCGCATGGTAAATTTAACGTGCACAACCGTATTAAGAACCACGGGTCCCAAGGTTGCCAGTACCTTTACTATTGTGCTTATAGACCTTATATCCACCACGTATTATGACATCATTTTTTAAAACGACGAGCTATTCGTGTATTACTACTTTCACCGGCGTTATAATGGCCAAAAAATGCTGTCTTGTACCTCAAGAAAATTTATACATAATTGTTTAACAATAGTCATATATCTTTAAATACCCCTCTTATAACGAGCCTGGAACTAGGGCAATAACTATAGTACATTCATTGTACATCCCCAAACCCCATCCCATTTATAAAGACGCTTGCATTTAGGAGTCCATAGTTTTATAAGTAAGATGTAATTGTATTTTACGTCACGAAAGCAATATATTAATATGGTATTAATAACTTCATGTTTAATATATTGTTAAATTTGCTTGACATTTATTTGTTGTTTTTTTCTACACCCAAATATTTCATGTTTATTAAGAATGTCAGTTTTTTTTTTATCATTTTTATTATTAATAAATGATAATATAATATTATAATAATAATAAATAAAATTGATGCATTAACCCAAACGTTCATTTTTTTCAATAAATAAAATACATAAATAAATAGTTATTTGTTCTTACCTTTTTAACTTATTAATTAAAAAAAAAATACATGTATATACAACAACATAAAAAGTATTAACGTGCATAGCCGAATTAAGAACCACGGAGCAACATAGCTCCGTCCAACCGCTCCCCCCCCCCCCCCCCAACCCAGATTTGTCTCACAATAATATGAAACGTTTATTAGAAGAATCGTACTGGATTCGTAAGCTATTAGCTATTCCTACGCTTCAAAACTCTGAATCGGTGCTATGATAATCTCTTAAGAGAGGCGCACCACACTAAATACCGTAGTGGTGTAAAATAAATAATATGCTTTTACACCCTAAAAAATCTAAAAGTATGCTGGTAGGTAGTAGACAAAAGCTAAAGATTGCAAAAGCATTAAATTTGAAAATTAGCGACTCAACTCTTGACAATGTAGAATCACAAAAACTGCTTGGTATTTATGTTGAAAATACACTCAATTGGCACTGTCAGGTAAATGATGTGTGTAAAAAATTGAACTCTAAAGTTAATTTATTTAGGCGTATAAAGTACTTTTTAAATAAGGAATCTCGCATGTTTTTTTATAATGCATACCTTCTTCCTATTTTTGATTATTGTTGTAATATATGGGGAAAAGAAAACAAAAAATATATATGCCAAATATACAAAATACAAACACGAATTTGCAAAATTATTCTAGACCTTCCAATGAGAAAGCAATCAGAAAATTTATACAAAAGATTTAAAATATTGCCTTTCAAGAAAAGATGTATTTTTCACAGCGGTGTCCAAGTATATAAAGCATTGAATAATATGTCCCCTCAATATATCCGAGACTTACTTACCATATCTAATAATCAAAAGTATAATCTAAGATCGATATCTCACGGAAATTTAATTTCGACTTACAAACCACGTACTAATTATTTTAATGACACATTCCAATTTAATGCCATGGTTATTTGGAATTCCATACCACTGACTATAAGAAGAAAAACAAAATTGTCAATATTTAAGAAATGTTTCAAGAAATACTTATTTAATCAACTTTAGCACGGTCCGTTTGTCTTATATATACAGGATACGCTCTTTATATTCATACATGTGTTTTTTATTATTATGTTTTCTAATAATGGGTGTCTGTCTTAGTTTCAAGTTGTTTGACTGTGTAATTTTGTAAGTTAATTTTACTTTTTAAATTGCAGATTAAAATGATGCACTGATGAAAGTATTATGTTTCATGATAAATAAAATGAATTGTATGAATGTTCAGTATATGTGTTAATATATGTTAAAATTGTGATAACCATTTAATCATTTCTTTTTACATGTTATATTTTCTTTGATTGATATGTGTTCTTTTGTGTGTGTGTTTTTATTTTTATTTTAGAAGGCCGCATTGTAAATAAGATGTTGCAATCTGTATATGTCTTAATGTGTTACCTTCGGTAAATAAAGTTATTATTATTATTATTATTATTATTATTATTCCGGTAAATACCGGACCAGACGCCCGACTGACAAAATGCTAAAAAACTCACAATTTCACCCGCCAAAAATGCACTTTAAGACATCTAATCCATTTTTTTTCACACCGATTTAAGTACATGTATGTCAAAGAATGATAATGTAAAAATCGACGAAGAAAATCGATATTTTCTACATGATCATGATGTCTGCAAGTATCTTGAGGTACTTACACTGTAGTAAGTTTAATCCATTTCTTAAACAAACGTTATATCATTTTTTTTTACTTAATCGTCTATTATTTTCTACAGATGACTTCCATAAAAAATGCCTCAAAATAGAATTAAAATGCTTTTTTAAAATACCAAAGTGCAAAAACCTCATAACCCCTTCAATTTGAGGACAACTAGTGATCATTATTTTCCTATTCGTATATAAGTCCTTGCCAAGTTTCAAGAAAATTGGACAAACCTATGATAAGGATTAAGAAGGAAATACGGCTGGAAAGATATACTGACGGACGGACGGATAACGACATTTCAATATCCTCTGTTTTACAATAACTCGCGTACCTGCTGGATAATGGACGACACTTATTGACAGTTGAAAATAAGTAAGAAATGTAAGCTTGTTATTTCCTTGTTTCATATTAATTGTGTGTGATATGGGAAACTAAACTTTTATCCCTTGTAACAATATATAGTCTAGAGTGGAAAAAGAAGCATTGAGAGAAACCCCTAATTGCAAACGAGATATGTTCATTGGTATAAATGTAATCTATATAATATACGTATGCATACCTAATTGTAAGCAGCCGTCAGGAGCAAGCAAGTGTTTTCGTTTCCGACTACGGCCTTTGGACATTGGTTCCCCACATAATGTTAACATATCCCCAATGTTTCCCGGAAAACTCGTGCTATATTCATTACAATAACTCGTGTCTGTGTTAAAGTTGTTCAGTAAATGTTCATAATCCTCTTGACAGAAAACTTGGTCACAATGAATACCGTACGTGTCACCCGTTCTCAAAGGTTTATTGCACGAGAAACAAAGAAAACAATCTATGTGGTAAATACAATCTCTGGCACGCATAACAAGCTCGTGCGCTGAAAGACCCACGTGACATCTTGCACATCTTTGCTGAGAGTATCTTCTGAAAAGGAGAAAGAATGATTTGAATAAAAACAATATTTGAAAATATTTAAAATAACACAAAATGATTGTTCAATCGTATTTTTCATCCACAAAAATTAATTTACACAACAGTGATGCATTAGCCCAAACGTTCCTTTTTTCAATAAATCATGTAAACTTTAGATAGTATAGAAATTGTAATTATGGACGTATTTTCATTATATTTTAAATATTGATCACAATCTAATAAACATATGTCTCAACTCAGGGTAATTTAAATAGATAGTTTATTTAAACCTGACTCAGAGAATTTTTGCATACGAAAACAACATTTGTATAACAGTAAATTCGTGCACACGTGCGTAACTCTTAAACACCTGTTCGCTAGGTTTATATGAGTTCATAAGCCTTTAAAATCAGTAAAAACAATTTCATCAGATTTTATAATTTAAAATTCTGTCGACGATGAGTATTTTATGAGCGATATTCCTTCGATTTGTAATTCATTGTCGAACTAAAAATACAGTGTATTTCTTTTTGTTTGTTTTTATTTATTTTATTTTATTGTATGAGTTTTGGATTGTTTGTTGTTTTGTTGCTATTTGGGTTAATTTTTGTTGTTGTTTTTTAGCACACCTTTCGTGGCTAACACACGTGGTTTTTCTGTTGGTATCATAGTCAGACACAGGATAGAGGTTTTCACATGATTCAAGTAAGATTTTTATCCATTACATTGCAGTTCATTGGTGAATTTACTGGAGATATATTGCTGGGTATCCTGAATACTTAGCTTTATCAATCTTCCTTACGGTTTCGGAAATTTCAACATAATTATACTTGTATATATTTACTTATAACAACTTGCGATTTTTTTTATATATATATAGAAAATTAAATACTGACTGATTATCAAACAACCTTATTGTAATCAGCCACACTCATCCTAACAACAATAAACAGTATACGATTGTTTGTCTCGTGCTGAACAATAACCTGTTCCTCCATCAAAATAGCTCTGATTTTTTTCCTTGTCAAAACTTTGGGTATGTTTTCCTAAATAATCTGTCAGAAACACGACCTGATGAATTCAGCAGAAGTTCCACCATGGAACTTCCATTAGCGTCACTCAATGAACTAACCAGACGACTTTACATCCGGGCTGTAGAAATTCGAGACCGCTTTGCTTAAGGTCGTCTGCTAAACGGTCTTACCAGACGTAAGTTTTTTAACTTGTGAAGATTTGTGAACAATGCGCATGCCCGTAAGACTAAGTCTAGTTAGTGTTCGTAAGTAACAAATACAAAAATTAAATTGACAATTTAAATGTTAAATGTTTACACAGGAATGCTTACCAAGTGTTTGAAATTGTTTTAAAAACAACTGATTTTATTGACAAATAATCGATTTACAAAAGATATTTTTTACGATTCATTTGAAATACTCCTTTAGAACACACTAAATATCTTAATAAAGAAGTTAAATAAAGTAAAACAATTAGCAGTATGTTTTTAAAGTTAGAATAGCTGTTGGCCATATATCAAAATAACTTATGTCAATTGTTTCATTTCATTAATACAATGTGAAGGAAATGTTGATGTATTTCTTATTGTGCACTATTTCTTTAAGTCATGATTTAAAAAATGCCAAGAGAAAATCATGAACTTTTTATCGTTAGAAGAAAAGAATTTATTCACAGATGCAGCCGTAACTATAGAAAGGACCGGACATTGAAAGAACTGACAATGCACCTGCGTAATCCATTGAGAGTTGATTTTCGTGTCAAAAGAAAATAAAATATTAAGCCTAAAACTTCCGATCACATTAAATTTCTATCATCACAATTCACGAGTCTATTGAGACGCCGTGAAAATCGAAACTTCTAGTAGCAGCAGACATAAAGAATTCATTTCTGTCATTTCCGGAACTTCCGGTAATGAGTACCGGTGTCATCGTAGAAAATATCCCACTGTTCATTTTACCGTTTCTCAAGAGCATTAGAGTCCATAAAAATAATGACACTTTGCTTTATCGCCTTATTACATGTAAATGCCATTGAGCCGATTTTTCTTTATGAAATCAATTTATCTAAGTGAAATTTTTGGTATCTTCGCATAATCCTAATGTTATAAATATCTTAAATGGAAAAAAGATCGAATGCCGGAAAAATGGTCAAAGTTCAACCGGTGTTTATTGTTATTAAGGTTATTCACCATGTATACACCGTAACACAGTCCTGAATATGAAAAGAACGCAGGGATTGTGCCATTGAAAAACCGAGTAACACGAAAAGTGGCCTGCCTTAAATTTGGAACAGTCCGTTTAAAAATTAATGGATATCACTATAAAAAATGGTTATGTTAGTCATCTATATCATAGCATGATGTCATATATATCATAAAATAATAGTCATCTATATCATTTAAAGTAAGTCATCTATATCATTAAATGTTAGTCATCTTTATCATTTAAAGTAAGTAATCTATATCATAAAATGCTAGTCACCTTTATCATTAATGTTAATCATCTTTATCATTAAATGTTAGTCATCTTTATCATAAAATGTTAGTCATCTTTATCATTAAATGTTAGTCATCTTTATCATTTAATGTTAGTCATCTTTATCATAAAATGTTAGTCATCTTTATCATTAAATGTAGTCATCTTTATCATAAAATGTTAGTCATCTTTATCATTTAATGTTAGTCATCTTTATCATTAAATGTTAGTCATCTTTATCATTTACTGTTAGTCATCTTTATCATAAAATGTTAGTCATCTTTAATCATTTAATGTTAGTCATCTTTATCATTAAATGTTAGTCATCTTTATCATTTACTGTTAGTCATCTTTATCATTAAATGTTAGTCATCTTTATCATAAAATGTTAGTCACTTTTCTCATAAAATGTTAGTCATCTTTATTATAAAATGTTAGTCACCTTTATCATTAAATGTTAGTCATCTTTATCATTAAATGTTAGTCATCTTTATCATAAAATGTTAGTCACTTTTCTCATAAAATGTTAGTCATCTTTATTATAAAATGTTAGTCACCTTTATCATTAAATGTTAGTCATCTTTATCATTAAATGTTTGTCATCCGTAATTTAATGTAAGTTATCTTTATTATAAAATCGATATCATTAAAATATTTGAGAACAAAATATAGGAAAGTAAGATTGGTATTTCGCAAGAAGTCCTTCTGTAGTCAAACATCAGTTCAACCAAAAGACGAATCATAAACTATAGAATGTATGTATGTTTACCTACGCAAAAGAATAAGAAGAAACAACATGTTACTCGTTTTCAATATGTATTGTTTATGTTTAAAATTAACTGTCGCTTTACGTGAACATCGGGCGAATCAGTTGATTCATTTATGAGTAAGTTAATATTACTTGAATACAGATATGAATAGTGAATATGCTTGTAAAATTATTAAAGGCATATTAACCCTCAGAAACGAGTTAGAAAGGGCAAATGTGTGATTTCATAAATTTAGAACATGTTTGTCTCGATTATCACCCGAAGAAAGTAGCCCTGAATGTGACTGACTTGTAATAAAAATAGCCATATGTAAAGAAAGTGGTATTTTGACTTCCATACAAAATACTAATCAATCTCAAAATATAAAAAGTTTGAACATTTTGTTAAATGTGACTGGACACCAGAAGAAGAGAAAGTTTATTTTAAGTTATATCATTTGGGGGGCTTAATGGGCCTTTAAGGAATAGTGTTTCATTTCCACTGCATGTATTTTCTTCTATGATAATACTATTTATACATTATAGTTACCTGTGATAATCCAACTTGCAGAAAATGAGTCCGTCTCGAATGAAACACGTAAGTTGGGAGTCCAGTTGAAAGTTACAATCGGCGCATCTTAGACATTCCACGTGCCAGTGTTGCTCAGCAACCAACAGGAAGTACCTATCAACAATCTTGGTTCCACAGCCAGCACATATTATTGTCTGGTTCTCGGCTGATGAGTCAGGTACCATCTAAAACGACATCGAATCCGATTTAAATAATTACGGACTACTTATTGAACTAATCCATAATTTACAGATTGTACGTTACTCAAAATACCCTCAAATATTTTTGTTTGAATTCATGTACTGTAAGCAAATTGTGAACATTTGAAATTAGGCAAGTAATGTTAGAGTGACTCGCTTGTATCGATCTTGTCAAGTTTTCATTCTCACCTGAATACGTATAACACGTTAGATAATGCAACTCCATATCATCAACTCAATTTCCTTCATCTTTCCATGCAGAATAAAATAGATCTATATATCTGGACATGGACCAGTTAGTCAACGTACACGGCCATTTTAGCTCAGTTCAGGTAAGGTTTTTAGTGATTATTTTTCTATCGAGCCGATTTAAATTATGCAATATAGCCTACCGACCGCGGCATTTCCGATGCTTTCTAAAAATGCATTTGGTGTCGTGAAACGTTGTGTATTTTCTGAGAACATTCAAATAATATAAACAATTTGTCAATGACAACGTACACATTATAGTGGAAAGATTGGAAAATAACTTAATAAACACATGTCAGCTCTAAGTAAAATTTCAAGTTTTTAAATGTATAAGAGAATGTTTTAATAAAAAAGAACGTGTTTCTTGCTGTCATTTTTTGTATTTATTGAAAAATTGTCAAACTTACTGAAATGTCAACGTACATGTGCAGTCAACGTACACACTCCAAATTAAGTTTGAACATAATGCTGCAACTTCGGACTAGGTGGCTTTTTCCAACAAAAAGTTGGCTTTCTATTGAAATTGCCCTCTCAAACTGTATATCAGTACTGGTTTATACAAAGGAAAAAGTTGCGAGTACATTTATTTCATCGCAAATAAGCTTTAACAACCTTTAACTTTTTAATGTTATTTATTTGTTGTTTTGTGATTTTCTTTTAGAAGAAAAAAATCCAGATTAGCTGAAACAGCAATTTTATACTGTATCAATTTAGATCATATTACAGTCATTACATATTACAGTCATTAAATTAAATAACGTATTTATTAAATAACGTAAACAGCCAGGATAAGCGTCTCTTGCTCAACCAAACTAGTGCCTTCCGTAGCAACAAAAAGGGTCTAAGGTTGACGTTGACGCCGAGTTACAATTTTATAGGTATTACCGGTATTTCAGCAGAGCAGTTGCGTCACTTGAACCCTATGATTACATCACAACGTTTAATTTACATTATATTTTCAAGAATATATCTCCTTGCACTAATTATGTAATTGCCACATGTTATAGCTACTGTCATTTTATACATGGGCTAGCTTAACAGACGTGTTATGTATTTTTGCATCCACATTGTTTTCTTTGCCCTTGTTGTTTCATTGCAAATTTTGCCAACCATGTCTGTTAATTTACAAGTCTATGATAGACATATTTAACAAAAATGCAATACATTTTAGAAAATTTACATTGCAATCAAAATTATAAATTCAAGCAAACCATTTTATTTGAGCAAAATGTGGATACAATATCTGTATTGTAACAATCATTTCAATATAATTATATTGTCGCATTTCTGTAATTACAAGTGGTTCGTATTACTGTGTTACTTGTTATAACTTTTTAAATGTTTAAACAATGTCATTGATTCATATCTATAACTCATACATTGCGCAAAAAATAAGATAAGTAAATTTAGCCACTAGTAACCATTTTCCGGTAACTGGTTACTTGAGCAGTAAAAGTTTTATACTAGAAACTTGCTACTATAGTAACTAACAATTTTACAAAGGGTAATTGGTTACCTTAACCAACCTATAAAATAGTGAATTGTTTATAAGATATCTTTTTACATAACTAGTGCAAGTAGATAGATATATTCTTGAAAATATACTGAACGTTAGTGATGTAAATCTGCTGAAATACTGGTAATATAAAATTGTAACCTTGGACCCTTTTGTTGCTACAGAACGCACTAGTTTGCATGAGCAAGAGACGCTTATCCTGGCTGTTTACGTTATTAAGATGGCTGTTTCAGCTAATCATTAAGCAGTCTGAGTAGCTGAAAATATTTCTTTTAAAAACAAAAGGACAAATAAATAACATTAAAAAAGTTAAAGGTTGTTAAAGCTTATTTGCGATGAAATAAATGTACTTGCAACTTTTTCCCTCGTATAAACCAGTGCTGATATACAGTTTGAGAGGGCAATCTAAATAGAAATAGAGAAATACAGAATCCCTAAAGAAAGCCCAACACGACAAAATCGTAAATGTTGCAGGCTCGATTTGATTGAGCCTGTTCATGGACGGTAATGGAAAGTGCAAATTACCGTCCACGCCCCCTAGCACCGGCTTAAGCAGAATTCAACATTTAACACGAAAATGGTGAAATTTTGAATTTAGAAACATCCGCAGATGTGTTCATACGGCGGTTACCATGGAACCTTCAATGTGACACAGTAGTGCCATTCCATGTAAAGCGGCGTATGGTCCCCAAATAAAAGAATGCTTGTGCCCTAAACGAGAAAACAATGGGCGGAACTAAATAAAATGGAATTTTGAAAGGGGATCTGAGGTTATGAAGCCTGCATATCACAGATAAGACGTCAAAAGACAAATTTAAAAAGCAGGCAACATATCCTAAGGGTGATTATACAGTATTCAAGTAGGAATACTGGAACCACCCAAGTTAAAAAAGGCCAAATAGAAGAAACTTAAAGTACCACATAACATGTATACACAACAATTATGTCGTGCTGAACGATCTTTAAGGATCGAAAATATAACATCATTGATTAAATGTACGGGGAGACTTTTTACAGCCGCCACACGGCACAAATAACACGGATGTGACAATGAAATAGAGAAATACAGAATCCCTAAAGAAAGCCCAACACGACAAAATCGTAAATGTTGCAGGCTCGGTTTGATTGAGCCTGTTCATGGACGGTAATGGAAAGTGCAAGTTACCGTCCACGCCCCCTAGCACCGGCTTAAGCAGAATTCAACATTTAACACGAAAATGGTGAAATTTTGAATTTAGAAACATCCGCAGATGTGTTCATACGGCGGTTATCATGGAACCTTCAATGTGACACAGTAGTGCCATTCCATGTAAAGCGGCGTATGGTCCCCAAATAAAAGAATGCTTGTGCCCTAAACGAGAAAACAATGGGCGGAACTAAATAAAATGGAATTTTGAAAGGGGATCTGAGGTTATGAAGCCTGCATATCACAGATAAGACGTCAAAAGACAAATTTAAAAAGCAGGCAACATATCCTAAGGGTGATTATACAGTATTCAAGTAGGAATACTGGAACCACCCAAGTTAAAAAAGGCCAAATAGAAGAAACTTAAAGTACCACATAACATGTATACACAACAATTATGTCGTGCTGAACGATCTTTAAGGATCGAAAATATAACATCATTGATTAAATGTACGGGGAGACTTTTTACAGCCGCCACACGGCACAAATAACACGGATGTGACAATGAAATAGAGAAATACAGAAAAAACGGAAAAAGCCACCTAGTCCGAAGTTGCAGCATTATGTTCAGACCACCATCAAACTTAATTGGGAGTGTGAACGTTGACATTTTCTTGACTGCACATGGACGTTGACATTTCGTAAGTTGGACAATTTTTAAATAAAAACAAAAAATGACAGCAAGAAACACGTTCTTTTTTTATTAAAACATTCTCTTATACATTTTAAAACTTGAAATTTTTACTAAGAACTGACATCATTTATTAAGTAATTTTCGAATATTTTATACAAGAGTGTGTACGTTGTCATCGACAAATTGTAAATATTGTTTGAATGTTCTCAGAAAGTACAAAACGTTAGACGACACCAAATGCATTTTTTTAGAAAGCATCGGAAATACCGCGGTCGTTAGGCTATATTGCATAATTTAAATCGGCTCGATAGAAAAAGAATTACTATAAAAACTTACGTCAGCGGGCTTTTTTGGCCGTGTTCGTTGACTTTTGTGGTCACGTGACCAAAGTTGCTTACCCACGGTGATTAATTAAAACAACTTAAACTGCGCACACACATACACCCACAACCTCTTTTAAAATAATTCTGTGTTGGAAATGTTGTATATTTTGATATAAGTTAAGAAGTTATTCTGGTTAACTAAATGAAATGGGCGTGGCTTTTACTCTACATTATTTGGTTAGGTTGTGGTCCAGTAGGTAGATGCTGGAGAGGCCTAATGTTAGCTAGAACACCATACTTCTCGCACTTTTAGTAATTTCAATGTTTAAAAAGTTAATAACTCCGGCCAAAATAAAAAAAAAACTATATGTATTAAAATCAAAGAGCTGTGGCGCAAAGTCTAATATCTTTAACAACTTGTTTATGTATCTTTGAAGATTATTAAATAAACACACTGGTAATGGTTGTCGAAAATAATGTATCATTTTTGAGGAGAGAGTATTTTATGGGCGTGCGCTTATATAACAAATATCTCGTACTTTCTAGAAAAAATAAATATGATGAAAAGTAAGGATCTGTCATTCTATTAAATTATAAAAGGAAACCTTTCAACTTGTTTACTTCTTTCGTGATCTGTATAAGTAGAGTAGACAGTTTTGAGTAAGTATTTATTTCATTTAACGCGTTAGTTATCATGATATTTAAGCTACAGAAGAAAATAACTTGTTGTTTATAAATGTTTTATTTTGCCGATTAAAAGATAGACCAATGAAAGATAAATACAATGTAATCTAGAACAACAACATGTTTCGTGACACATATTTTCTGTTTGAAGGTCATTACAAATTTGGAGAAATTCTCTGTCATTTCATACATCTGAGACTAAACACTGACAAGTTTTTAATGTTTAGACCAATAAACGGGTAGACAATAGAAATGTATGGAATATTTTTCAATATTTGAGAATATAACTAAATATCTGAGTTTCTCACATGTCATATTTGAACATTAACAGAATACTGGTTGGAGAGATAACTCCAACACTGAATCACATATTTTTTGCAATATCTTATTTATCTTCCTGTATATTTTAGATATTGAACCACCTTAACAAAGTTCAGTTCAAAGACTTTACATTACACTATAAAAGTTATGTATGAAAATGGAATCTGGTACTTCTTTAAGGTCCTGAATGAGGTATACAAAACATGGTCTTTTTACCCCACAACAGTACATAAAGTCGACACTTAATTTTTTAAGTAAAAAATGACTCGAAAATCTGCATCAATAATTTATTTTTACCTCTTATATGTTTTATCTATTTTCTGTGAATATTTAAACAATTTTACTAAAATCATTCCCAAGTCAGTGGCCTGTGGTCTATACAATTTTAACAACCTAATTGTAATTTCGTAAAAAGAACGTTTTGAAGTAGTTTTGCCTACGAAAAATTTAGGTTATTTGAAAAACATTAAAAAGTTTACCAAATTATAAAAAAATCACCCCATTCTGTCCTACTCCAATACTTTTAGGTGACCATGTGCTTGTTTGTTGAAAAACAAAGTTATAACAATTATATAAAATTTATCAAGGGTTATCTATGCGTCGGAGTTATCTCTCCGACCAGTATATCTTTAACTTTAAAATACCTTAATATATATCAAAACATTAAACACGATAAGAATGACACATTTATAGTATTGTTTTTCTGTACTTATATAATAATATCAAAATGTAAATCATATACAGTCTATAACTTAATTTTTAGACACATATTTGTTGGGATAAAAACTTGCAGAATCGTATACTGATGCCGGTATTTTACAAATTTAAGTTGTGTAAATGTTGATATAAGGTTATGTCTTCATATACGAGTTTTACAAAAAGAACAAAGAAAGATAATAACAGTAAATGTTTACGTTCTCAATAAAAAATATTGTTTTCTACTTAATGAATAAATAAAACTTCCACCACAATTGATCCCTGTGTCTTTATTATGAATTATAGAAAAAAACAAAACCCTACTACAAAACTGAAAGATGTCTGCCTGATATGCCCATCTGGCAGGGCGCTAATGATGCGTGAAGTTATTGGCATATTTCATACAGATATTGTGAACTTATAGCGCGTGCAAAGAAGATGAGTAAACGAGCACGGGACATGTGTTCAAGTCTCGTGTATAACACGTGCTACATTCCATAAAAATACACTAGCAATGTCTGTTTTCAAAATCTGATTCATTTTGGCTATATGTCTAAAATGCCGATTTTTTTAAAATAAAGAACTGGTTGCTTGAAAAAGCGCATCATGATTTTAAAGTCATGTCCCATCACGTTTCTTTCTTTCGACATTGAACACTGTCATATTTCAAATCCATGTTATCAAATATATGTGTAACATATATCAAAATCTAAAAATATTTACGCGTTTTTGGCCATATACTATATAAATTAAAATTGTATCATACTGACTCCTATTTGAGTCGCTTTATGATCATTTATCATAAACCTATTCCTATTTTGCGGCACCGCCGTGCATATACTGTGACATGGCTTTTTTTTGCGTTGCACAGACATAGCGCAAAGAAGCGCATTCACTATAGGCGCGTCAAAGTATACGTGACGATGACAATGTGGTGATACCATCATTTTAAAACAAACGAGTATTTGCATACAAAAGTATACCTCGCTCTAAAGGTATGAAGTTCAGTGCCCAATCTGACTAAAGTTCAGATTTACTTGTTTTCTTTATGTAGATCTGATGATGACCGTATATGTTTCATCTTCTTTATAATTGGTTTATATTGGTTTTCCCAGGGTTAAAATTAGAAACCACATCGCTTTCAAAATTATGAAAGCTCGCCGATGATTGGCTGTGTGAAAGGTCACCAGAAATGATTTCGTATTTGGTCACGGTCAGATCTAAAAGCGGAGCGTTATTTAGAGCTGATTTTAATCAGATTGGTGCAATGCCATATATACCAAACCAAATTAAAGTTGGTTCATTTTTAGAATTGAGCAAGACACCTTTATTTATTTATTTATTTATTTATTTATTTTATTTATTTTATTTATTTATATTTATTTTATTTATTTATCTATTTGTTTGCTAAACAATAATAAAGCATATACATATATGTATGCAAAAGGTTTAAATAACCTTTTAAACTTTTAAAAAATCATCAACAACAACGACGTTGATGCAGTCCCACAACTTAAAATAATTATTAACTACATTGGCTCATTAGCCTCAGGTGATTATTTTTTTAATTCTAATACAAAAGTACAGATACAGGTGACGTAGTAATCTGTCAATAATTACAGATACAGTGACGTAGTAATCTGTCAATAAGTACAGATACAGGTGACGTAGTAATCTGTCAATAATTACAGATACAGTGACGTAGCAATCTGTCAATAAGTACAGATACAGGTGACGTAGTAATCTGTCAATAAGTACAGTGACGTAGTAATCTGTCAATAATTACAGATACAGTGAACGTAGTAATCTGTCAATAAGTACAGAAACAGTGACGTAGTAATCTGTCAATAATTACAGATACAGTGAACGTAGTAATCTGTCAATAAGTACAGAAACAGGTGACGTAGTAATCTGTCAATAAGTACAGATACAGGTGACGTAGTAATCTGTCAATAATTACAGATACAGTGACGTAGCAATCTGTCAATAAGTACAGATACAGGTGACGTAGTAATCTGTCAATAAGTACAGTGACGTAGTAATCTGTCAATAATTACAGATACAGTGAACGTAGTAATCTGTCAATAAGTACAGAAACAGTGACGTAGTAATCTGTCAATAATTACAGATACAGTGAACGTAGTAATCTGTCAATAAGTACAGAAACAGGTGACGTAGTAATCTGTCAATAAGTACAGATACGGTGACGTAGATATCTGTCAATAAGTACAGATACATTAACGTAGTAATCTGTCAATAAGTACAGATTCGGTTACGTTGTAAACTGTCAATAATTACAGATACAGTGACGTAGTAAACTGTTAATAATTACAGATACAGTGACGTAGATATCTGTCAATAAGTACAGATACATTGACGTAGTAATCTGCCAATAAGTACAGATACAGTGACGTAGTAATCTGTCAATAATTACAGATACAGTGACGTAGTAATCTGTCAATAATTACAGATACAGTGACGTAGTAATCTGTCAATAAGTACAGATACAGGTGACGTAGTAATCTGTCAATAATTACAGATACAGTGACGTAGCAATCTGTCAATAAGTACAGATACAGGTGACGTAGTTATCTGTCAATAAGTACAGATACAGGTGACGTAGTAATCTGTCAATAAGTACAGTGACGTAGTAATCTGTCAATAATTACAGATACAGTGAACGTAGTAATCTGTCAATAAGTACAGAAACAGGTGACGTAGTAATCTGTCAATAATTACAGATACAGTGACGTAGCAATCTGTCAATAAGTACAGATACAGTGACGTAGTAATCTGTCAATAAGTACAGATACGGTGACGTAGATATCTGTCAATAAGTACAGATACATTAACGTAGTAATCTGTCAATAAGTACAGATACGGTTACGTTGTAAACTGTCAATAATTACAGATACAGTGACGTAGTAAACTGTTAATAATTACAGATACAGTGACGTAGATATCTGTCAATAAGAACAGATACAGTGACGTAGTAATCTGTCAATAAGTACAGATACAGTGACGTAGTAATCTGTCAATAATTACAGATACAGTGAACGTAGTAATCTGTCAATAAGTACAGAAACAGGTGGTGTAGTAATCTATCAATAATTACAGATACAGTGACGTAGATATCTGTCAAAAAGTACAGATACAGTGACGTAGTAATCTGTCAATAAGTACAGATACAGTGACGTTGAAACTGTCAATAATTACAGATACAGTGATGTTGTAATCTGTCAATAAGTACATATATATGCTGAACTTGTGCGGATGTCATTAAATGAACACAGGGAATTTCATTTCACGATCTAGCTTTATCTCTGACTTTGAAGGAAAATCACAAATTAGGATCTGCTTCATATAACGGTAACACACATTTTGTTACAAATGTAACAAAGGTTTGTATTTCAGTACCATACGCTATTCACTTCTCGTATTCTCAGATATATTTTAGATAGCAATAAGAATAAAAAAGCATATTATGCAGATCGAATGATAAGACAAGTTTTTATGAATTTTGTTAAAATAAACATTACGTATGTATAAATTTTACATATAAGTTACCTACATATAATTGGTTATATGTAATATAATATACCTTAAGCATACAGGTATTATTTGTCTACGAATGAATGTGATATTATTCAAATTATGTAATGTTGTTACTGGAATTTATTTAATGATGTTGTTGTTTTGTTGCAGAAGGCCATAAAAATTATTTGTACTTTGTACCGCATTATTACTATTACATGTATTATTATTATTATTATTATTATTATTATTATTATTATTATTATTATTATAATATTTATTATTATTATTATTATTATTATTATTATTATTATTATTATTATTATTATTATTATTATTATTTTTATTATTATTATTATTATTATTATTATTATTCCTAAATATATTTAATAAACCGGTTGGCAATAAATTATTTTGAGAAACAGTTATTTTTTTATATAATTTTTCTTGTTCCGGCATTTTTTATCATTTATGTACAGTATAATGTGTGAGAGGAATGTGTTATATATATAACTAAACAAGTATATAGATGTACATGTATTTAATTTATACGTATCTTTTCAACGTATTTCTTTATTTCTGTAAATTGTACCTATAAAGATAGTTAGATGATAGAAGAGTATAACTATTTATAATTATATCACTAAATTCATGTACAAGTATATATAAGACGGATTACCAAGTCCAGACAAAATCACGTGAATTTGTGCCGCGTGTGTCATAAGATATGATGATGCTAAATTAACAAGCATGCATGTAACCTACCTGGTTTATGTTCGTGTCATAATGCTTTTCATTTTCGAGACTGTTCGTCCGTACGTCTGCAAACACATCAGGCGCTGCTCCAACATAAACTTGATCTAACATCTTGCTATTCATGAGATGTTATTTTACCATTTATTATTATAAAATAGTGATAAAAATATATTGTCTCTGTGTTTCATTTATAACATACAAAGTCTGTAGTTTGAAGTTTGTCAACTGATTGATTCATTATAAGTGCACTTATGTGAACAAAGTGAGTTATTTGATACCCAACTTCTAATAAATGTTTCTTTTTAAAACATCCTTTTTCTTTAACGTATTTTCTTTAATCTCTTGAAAAGACGCACACTTTTAAGATTGAATACGAAATCTTTTTTGTACATTTATCGTTTTATTCCCGAGGTCGTACCTCGATTAATCCAGTCGGTCGACCGCTGTGCCATTGTACATAAATTCCTTCCGTTTTTACAAGATTTTGGAGATTTTCGCACAGCTCAAATATCCCGCTGATTTTTTACTATTCAAACAATAGTGTTCTCAAATGTCACAAGATTTTCTACATGTTTGATCGGTAGGTGAATCTGCCCTCGGGTATTTACAACTTTCCTACCCCTTTCAACAATATCTAGACAGCATAAAATCGATCCCTGTTTGATTTTCTTTTCATTTCAATCCGCAGGTGCCTTAAGAATCCGTACAATGGGCGGGACTATCAAGCTCTTGATATTTTGTTCCTCCTTGAGGCGGAGCCAGCAGTAAACGTTAGCATGTTATTGGAGATGTAGTTGATATCTTCGCTGCAATCAGGAAGAACAGAAACATCTCGATATTCTCTTTATTTTCAACAGCTAAGTCGGGCATTTCATTTTACGTAACTTTGAAATAATAAGACTTGTTCGTTATATTAATATCAAATTTTGTGAGGTTCTTTCACCTGTTTTTCTCAATTACTTTACCGATACATGTGTACATGACAAGTCATTGAATTATTCTATTATTATTCTAGGCGATGGACTGAAATGAATACATGACGCCCCGTCGTCACATAGGGAACACTGACGATGTAGTAAATGACTAGTTCCCGGCCGCTTGTCGGTAATATAAAGACAACCTCCTCAGACCATGTAGATGTGTAAGAGTTATCAAACATTCATGTTCCATAAACTTGAAGAGAACTTTAATTATATACTTTTTAATAAAAAAGTCATAGAAAAACCTGAATCAGAAACAAACAAGAGAGATACCAATATTATGATATAATACAAGTGAGGGGCCACTAGACAATCCTATATAATGCATTTTGTTTCACTTTTGTCTTGCCGGAAGACAGCTTTGGTTTTGGATAAGGATTTTTCCTGCCACTAAGTATTTAAGGAGGATTATACTGGTCAACTTTAGCTGTGTCACGCTAAACAAACAAATTATAACATTATTACATTGTCCCATTATATGTCTGGATTATCACCTTATTTTCTTCATAAATGTCATTTTCCAGTTGCATCATCATCACGCAAGGAGTCTAATTAAAACTAAACAAAAATTATATTTAGATAATTCAACACTTGTAAAATTGAAGAAATGCGAGGTTTTTATAAAATAAAATTATGACTTAAATGATATATTGAAACAAGTTGTTGTGCTGACTAACTAAGTCGACCACCATAAGAAATGAATGTAGAAATGTTGTAGAAAATAACACTTATGTCTGTATGATGCAATCCGCTAAAAATGTTACAACTTTACTTTACGTTTTATATTTAAATTATAAGAAGCATTACTTAATCAATGTCTGCAATCAAACGGTGCAAATTAAAATGTTTATATGAACTTATATGTTCAATTCATTATATCGTGTGAATATGGAAGCTGAGTAAACAAATGGACTTTTTGTAATGTTATATTTCGTTTGTTTAAATAAAACTATTTTATATAAAATTGATTTAAAATTTTCATACGTTTGAATGGCAAAATAAAAAATGAATTGGAATTTCATAACGTGCTGACTTTGAGATTTGATAGTTTGGCTTTTAATCGCCTTTATCACAAATCATCTGATGTCGTGATAAAATTAGAATTCGATATTTTCACGCGATCCATATCGAGACTAGAGCACGTGACGGTTATCGTAAATTACCGCCGTTACATTTGATTTATTACAGATTTAAAAATTTTACCACCAATTTATGGTGCTGATTTCTTGTAGTTTGGCAGGAATGATGGGCAGAAATATTGACTCTGCTCCTGATAGCCTTGATAGGGAATTTGTAAACCCAGCGTCCCTGTCATGTTGACACGTCGACCGTTGAGAAGTCGGCCGTCAAAAACCTCAAATCTAACAATATAACTAAAGCTGATTAACGATGTTTATGCGGTTATACACTGTGTTAAAGTTTTATTTTACAAACCGTTATAATAACAATCATCATTATATAAAAATAATAATATAAAACAGTAGTCAAGTTTTGTTTTCCGTTTTTCCAAAGAGATTTTAACTTTTAATATAATGTAACTATGGTGACACTATGCAAAGGCTCATAGGCCCAATAAATATACAAGTACTAGCGGTTGATAGTTAAATATGAATCGTTTGCACACAATGTTTTGCTTTTTGAGAAAAAGATGATCATTCGTAAAATGGGCATAAGTTTCCTGTCATTTAACATCTACTGACTGTTCAGTTACAATATTTTTTTTTATATTTTTGCGATTCTATATTTCCTTTTTAATGCTACAATAATGATAAAGGCAATTATTTTATTGTTTGATCAAGAAATACTGAGACGCTTGCATTTTGCATGTTTTATGTATTGTTTGCTAATCGTCTTGAGTTATAGCAGACTTACTAGAGATCCGTATGAAATACACAGAGACTGATAAACCATAACGAAACATGAGTAGTTGCCTGATAACAACAGATACTACCAGTATTGTTTTACAAGCACTGATAAACACAAATGAACTGTTAATTGATTTTATTGTATTTTGAAAGGTACTTAACAAAACCCTGAAAACGTCTGATAAAAGTTTTGCTTTTTTTTCTATCCCACTTAATTTTCCAAATGAATTTATTTCACATCTTAATAACAATGTTATACATGTATGAAGTTATAAAAATGTCATAACGATGTAAACTTTTTTGTATTTTAGAAAAACTGTCCGAGAATATTATCAAGGGTTAAGTTTTTGAAAGCTATTGTAATATAAAAAAACGTTGTTAATAAGTAAAATGAAGATTCGTGATCATACACATTGTTAAATTAAAGAAATGTTTGTTGTTGTTGTTTTTATTCCTGTACGACTGTCGTGAAGATAATTATATAAGATAATAATTCTACTGTAAATCACCAGGTCCTGAAATTCCCCTAACAAATAAACAGTTAGAATTGTTAACTACTACGTAAAGTTATCACGCGAAAAGATGACGTTTAAGGATTGTAAAATAACTACAAATAAAACACAAATCAATAATATCCAGCTAGTCTCCTACCATCAGTTCTTATTTTATGTTGTTTTCATTCCTTGATGCACTACGTCATTATTTAAAACATATTTCATGGAATAATTTATCTAATTTGTACAAGATAATAACGTTTGTTGTGAATTATTTCGAAGAAAACTGCGGACCACTTCATCAACGCCACGGAAATGCTTGGTGACATGATTAATGGCCGCAGTTGATTGGAACCTTTCCGTACAGTGTAAGGAGTACTTGATTATCACTACAATAACACAGAACATATGTGACCCAGAAGTTACCAACGTATCATCTTTACTCACCATATAATTGCAAATCTTTTCTATTCGATGCGAATGGTTTTGTAGAAATACTATCAGGAAAGAACGAACAGAGACAGACTTAATAATATTATGTACTTCTCATTAAAGTTCATTATGATATCATAAAGTAAAACCATTTTTTAATCATACCAGAATTAAAAAATGAATAAACAAATATGATGATAGGGTAAAATGTGCTTTGAATTTAAGTGTTATTTTTAAGCGAATAAACTGTTTCAGTACTAGCAAAATTGTCATTTCTACATTATTATTATTATTATTATTATTATTATTATTATTATTATTATTATTATTATTATTATTATTATGAACAACACGAATCCTGAAAATTGCGCATTTGACTATTTGAAGCTTTGAAAAAGATTTTTACAAGAATATGCAAAAAAACTTTCTAACTAAGGAGATAAAAAAATGAGAGAAATAGTGTGCGCATAAATAAAACTTTATCCTTATTATTTAAGATATAATATAAAAGCATACAACTTATCAAACTGTGGCATTGAACGAAGAACGGGCTCCCAGAAGATTCGGCATAAAAAGACGTCCCCGATGTGACTACCGTAGTGAACCGACAATGATGCGATTATCTCGGACATATGGTTATTCCGGCGCCGAGTATAAACAGACTTAAAAACCCACTGTGGGAAGCCGGTGGCTTTATAGATAAACGGTAGATAAACATGAAATAATTCTATAAAATTTATAAACGGTAAAATTCCACAATCTTATAACCGATTCGCGACAGACTTTTAACATAAATTGTCTCTGATAATTAACACAAATAGATATTGTACCTAAACAGAATAAAATGTTTGGAAAAGAATATTTTGCTGCCATGTTAAGCAATCGCAACTTTTCGGCCCTTTCCGCCATTCTTCGAACACAAAGAATACACAGAACTCATACGGTATTTCGGTCTACACTTAATCTGTTAACAAATATGGTAATTTAATGCTTGCATTTGAATACTTTATTTACATCAATATCTCGAGTAAAAGTGCACCTAAATTAAGTAAATTTACAGATATAAAAGTAAACACCACATTATCTATATACTTATTATAACCAAAAGTACAAATTATACACCTGACATTTATTCGGATTTGGTTACAATTGTACATCAGTGAGCATTTTTAAATTGATTATGATTGACAGACACGTGTTCGATCATAATTTTACCGAAATATACTTAATTTTCCTTTGGACGTCAAATATACCCTCAAGTTTTGTTTACATCTGAAACCACGTGGTAGAACTACTTTCAATCCGTATTAAGTCCGAGGTTATTATGAATTATAGCCGAGATGTTCCGATTGTTAAGATAAGTTTAAACCGTTAGTAATGATTTTGTGCATGCACCTTCCGTTTTAAGTAAATATACAAACATATTTCTTTCATACAGGTATTTTGAGAGTATTGCTTATCAAAATTCGAAAAACAATGGAAATTTTTTTTTCATTCTATCGAAAGTGCAAAAAATGAGTTAAATGATGTTGTAAAAATGGATTTATGACATGTGAGATGCTTATCACCTGATGAAAAAACTGTTGAGTTTAAAATCATTTCTGATAAAGGTAGCAAAATGTAAACAAAGTGGTATTTTGACTTCCATTCAAAACACTAATTAACTATAACTATATACTTATTACCAAAGCGCAAAGATGGTTCAGAAATATGACCAATGAGTAACTTTTTGGAAACTGTAAAAGGACATCAAAAATAAAATAGATTTTGAAAAATAGTGATAGCATTTTTAGGCTGAATGGGCCTTTATGTGTGTGCCTCCCCACCAGCGGATAGTTGTCCCGCCCTACTTCTGTCTAGTGTCTAGGCACAGTAATACATGTATAATTTATGGACTTGGTAAAAAGTCAAACGTCTGATTAAAAAA